AGCTAGAGAGGGAAAGAAATTCACAAATGGAAAGAGAATCGGGGAATGGAGAGAGAAACCAGTTGCACTTATGAAAAATCCAACTACAGTTATATCTGCAACCCTGTAGTGGTCACATTACATGCAAATATAGCCTCTCTTCCGGTTTCCTCCCTACTTCCGATTAGCAGCTGAATGTGTTGCCTAATATACCAGACCAGCAGATATGGCTCAAGTCATGGGAAACTCAGTACTTTTGGGGGGAAGTCCTTTCCATTTAGAAAAACATTTGTGGATACTAAGTTCTTTGTATTAAGCTGGCATTTTCATTCATTCATTCATCTAACAAATACGTACGAAGTGTGTTCTGTGTGCCAAGCATTGGTCTATGTACTGGGGGGGAAATGAGCTGTGGGACAGTGCCCAGCAGAAATGTCAGCAATAGTGGCAGCCAGGACCCCTGGCAGGGTCAGAAGCCACAAGGCAGCAGCACCAGAGCTGTGCCAGCTCCTGACCAGATCTTTATTGGCCGCTGGGAGAAGGGAAGCCACCCAGAAGCTGCCCATGGGAAGGGATTTGCATGGGTCTAGAATGCCAGCAACTACACTAACTGGAGGCTGCCCTTATCACATCCCACTTCCCAGAAAATATACAGCCCTCATATTCCATCCTACATTGGGATGATCAGGTTAACACAGGCTGCACTACAAACCACAGCTCTGCAATTCTATTCTTGAGCTATTTTATGCCCCAAGTGGGTCATTTACATTACAAATCTCACCTGCTGAGAGCTGAAGATCTAAGACTATTTTGATCTTACAGTTATCAATCCTAGATTTCTGCTGCTTATAAAAATAATGGGCAGTATTTTCATCCAATCTATTCTTCACTATATTCACTGTAATATTGCAAAGGAAAAATTTGAGATCAGACTCCAAGATATCATCAAAATCTGCAGGGAGGGAAAAAAGTCTGTTTGACAAAAAAAGTTGAATTGAACGTCAGATACAAATAAACACCACATATACCCTCATCCAGCCAGATGCTGTTCATTTGCCACAAAGATACAGACTCAGACATCTGCTACCAGTCAGAGCTTATCAAAACAGGAAGTGGGCGTGCCAGGCCCAGATCTTTCCTTGTGATTGCAGACTCTCTCATGGTGAGCACGTCTTCATTTTCTTAAAGCTTACACACCACTTTGACTAATTCATAATAGAATTTTGCTTAAGATGGCTGTTACACTTATTTATTCTGTCAACTGTCTGCAGAAGTCCCTTCCTTCCCTTTTCTGAAAATTAGACATGTTAGCTCATTTCCAGTTCTTCCAATATTTTGTGATTTTCAAAAATAATTGTATCAATGGTTAAGTAATATGTTCTGCAAGTTTTTTAAGGTCATGTGTCTGAAATAAACAAGAATTATTCAGAGTGGCTACTTGCTTAGCCTCTGCATTATGTTGAGCTCTGTTTTCTTCTTGCTAACGCTTAGACCATCCTATTCCCTCCTCTCTCCATGGGATTCAGACTGGGAGAAATATTCACCAAGTAGTTGCTGCCAGAGAATGGGACCAAAAGCTGAAGTGTAAACTTGATTGTCCTATTTAGACGAGTGCAGTGAAGGGCTGTGAGATGCAGGCAAGCTAATTAACGTCCATCAGGAGAGACAGAGTCTAATGCAGAGCAAATAGAGGGTCACAGCTGGGGTTCAGAAGCAAGTCAGGGCTGGAATTCCCTGGCAGTCCAGTGGTCAGGTTCTGGCATTTTCACTGCTGTGGGCCTGAGTTCAATTCCTGGTAGGGGAAGTAAAATTCTGCAAGCCATGGGGCTCTGCGCCCTCCCCCCCACCAAAGAAAAAGCAGGCCAGGACCAAGCAAGTGTGGTGTTAAGCTGTAGGGTCAAATTTAGTGGGCAGTAACCACATGGGCTCCTGAGTACTTGAAATGTGGCTAACACCACTGAGGAACTGGATTGTTAATTTCAGTTTAATTTAAACTCATTTAATTTAGAATTTAAAAACCGAAACAAAGTAAAAATGTTCTCATTAAGTACAATCCCATTGTTCTGAGAGGACTGTGTTTCACTTTAACAAATCACATAAGATGTTTTTGTGATGCTAGAGTGTGCCTTGTGGGCCTGTGTATACACATCAGCAATCTACTTGGTCTAAACAAAATTATTTAAGTGATTTTTCCTACACAACAATGTAACATTGCAACAGGGTTATTGGATGTTTATGCAGAAAACACAAGTTACAGTGATACTTTTGAAAATAGTAATCAAATGGAAATACTTATGATTTTAATTAAAGTAATTATGCTTTTGTTCTTATTCAAAAGTTAAATATGAACAAAATTTTACATTTAAAATTAGGGCATACTAGTGATGTAGAATTAAATGGAGATGGAGAAGCCAGTCACACAAACAAAGCAATAAAGGAAAAAAAAAATTGAGAAAAGATGTGTCCCAAATTTCACAAAGCATGGCAATTGCAGAATTTGGGGTTAAACAAAATGAAAAAGCTGCTTGCTTGATGTTTAACTTTTCTTTAAGATGATGAAGCAGACAATATTACAGACATTAGCAGAAAACACATGGTGCATTTGTAAGTTTCTCCTAACAGTCAAAAAAATTTGAAAAGAATAGACTAAATTAGTTATCAGAAATCAGAAATGAATATCCAACAAAATTTTTAAAAATTATATTTAATGTGAGCTCATAACTTTAGCTAGCTGTTAAATGACTTAGACTCTTGCACCAAAAAAACCCTAATTTTTTAGTAGTATATGAGCTGCCAAAGCGAGTACTGAAATTAATTTTTTAGATGGCAACATGGTAAAAGAAATTCATTTCAGTTACGGAAATATTATAAAATTACTAGGAAAGGAGTAAAAAAATCACATTTTACAAAAACCAAAATATCTTCAATAAAGTCACCAAACAATCATCCGTAAGGTACAAGCCCTTTTCAAGAATATCAAAGATCAATTGACTCAGAATTGGAAAGACTGCAAGGACTTTCTTTAACACATTTCAAGTGCTTAGGATGAGTCATGCCTAATTAATACTTTGGTTATATTTAGTTTCAGAAGACTTCCAAACTCATGAAGAAGTGCTGTCAACTCATAGTCTAAAAAGTCAAACTCATGGCATAGATATATTTGAACTTTTTATGACTGTCAAAGAATTTCAACTAAGTATGAAAAAAATTGGTTTCTATATGATACAGGTGCTTCAGCTGTTACATCAAAAATCTGGATTTATAAGAATTTTAAAAGAATAGACTAATGAGAGTCCCTTTGGACTGCAAGGAGATCAAACCAGTCAATCCTCAAGGAAATCAAACCTGAATATTCATTGGAAAGACTGATGCTGAAGCTCCAATACTTTGGCCACCTCATGTGAAGAGCAGACTCATTGGAAAAGACACTGATGCTGGGAAAGACTGAGGACAAGAGGAGAAGGGGGCGATAGAGGATGAGATGTTTGGATGGCATCACTGACTCAATCAACATGAGTTTGAGCAAACTCAGGGAGATAGTGAAGGACATAGAAGCCTGGTGTGCTGCAGCTCATGGGGTTGCAGAGTCGGACACAACTTAGCAACTGAACAACTATGCTGTTAGCTCCAATTCAAGATTCTCCTGAAACAAAAGAATATTTGCCAAATTTTCAGTAATGGAAGACAAAACTTGGCAGTTATGCTTTATGTTTTGTCAGTCATATCACACTGCATATGAACAAGCAGAACTTGAAGCTCCAAGGAACAGAACAGCTTATTTGTAACCTAGATCTATAGATATGAGAATTAATGTTGATATTGAAATTTTTCATAATACTAGTCAACAATGATTTTATACATTTTTCTAGTATGAATTCATATGCAGAATATTTTAATTATACCTGAAAGTGTTATGTAAATTGGCTGATAGAAATTCAAAAATTGAAAGCACTTTGTTGCTAATGTTAAATTTTAAGTTTCTTTCCTTCCTTCCCCTCCAACTTTGTTGAGATATAATTAACATATAACATTGTGTGAGTTTAATGTGTGATTACCACACTGTGATTACCACAATAAGGTTAGTTAACACATCTATCACTTGACATAAATAACTTTTTTTTGAGGGTTTGTTGTTAAGAACATTGAAGATCCAGTCTCTTAGCGACTTTCAAGTATACAATACAATATTACTGATGATAGTCACCACACATCAGATCCTCAGAACTTGTTCATTTTACAACTGGAGGTTTGTACAGTTTGGCCAACAGAGTTGCTTTCAATTTATGCAATTCTACTTTGAATTTGAAGTTAACATAAATTGTCTTGTTAGTGAATTTACTAAACTTTGACATAATTTTGAAATTGATATGCTTTTAAGGATGCTAAACTTTATAGTTTGTTTTATTGCATAATGTTTGCATAAGAAAAAGTATTGGAAACTCTAAGCTATCCTACAACCATCAATCAGCTAATTATTAATTCTACACTAAAGGTAGGCGGACATATAATCTTAAATCTAAAAACGAGTTTCAAAAAAAGTAGACAAAAGTTTAACATGATACAATTTTCATTATGGCTATACTTGTAGTTCCATGTTGTTAATAAGTGTTTCAAATGTACTGCTGGAAAGTTGCTCTTTATACTGTGAATATTGCTAGGGTAATATCAGATTATAAGCTGTAAAAACTAATTATTTTTATGGAATGATAAAGCTAACACTGTTATAATCAGTTTTCAATTCACACGCAAATTAAGTTGATGTAATAGTAATAATCTAAATAACCTTCTTATAACCAACAAAATTCTACTGAATTCAAGTTATACATGTTGCCTGATCAGATCTCCAAGTAGGACTGAATAGTGAGACCTGGAACCAGTCAGGCTGGTGTTAAGAACCTATGCTTGAAGCCAACACCTTCTCAGTAACCATGTCTTTTGAGCACATTGTACTTGAGAACTTACAGGTCAGCATTCAGCTCTTTCCTGTTGTCTGACCATAAAAACGAAACATCTCTCATAACCTCTCTTCATCGATGGCTTCAGGTCTGTTGATCTTATTCCCAAGAATCAGTATAGATGCGTTAGAAATGGTTTCGGCTGTCATTAGCAAATTGAGTTCTTCTTTTGATTCTAACAGCCTTTCATGATCTGCACAATCCACCAGAAATGTAACGCTGTTGATGGCAGGAAGGTAGTTTTTCCATACTCTTTGAGCTTGAACATAGTCACCCACATTAAAAGGTACAGAGGTCATGCCAGCAGTGGTTAGTTCTTTTGAAGGGGGATGTAACATTGGGGACATGTGTCCATGTCTGTCATCTTTTAGCATAAGCAGTAATGTTGTTTTTCTCATGTCCAATCCAAAAAACACCAATTTGACCATTTTCTTTTATAATCCTAAAAACTGTAGCACTCTGCTGAAATCACTGTATATCTAATCAAAGATGAAGGATCTGTCCATATTTTAGCACCTGAGACTGAAGAGAATCCTATTCCTTGCTTGATACTGGCCCTGCACCCTTTGAGACTGCACTGCAAAGTGTGATGGCTACTTGATGAGCTTTTGCTTAAAAGTCAAATCAGTTCTTGTTGGAAAAGAGGAACAAGTTTTGTCAATGTACATGCAAATACTAAAAGAAAAGAACTTTCCATATTCAATTTAGTTACTTGAAAATGTTTAAGTTTGCTTTTCACTGTAAAGAATATGGCTACTAGGAAATTTTAAATTATATGTATGGCTCAGATTATACTTTCATTGGACAGCATGAGTCTAAGGGTCTTGTCATGCTCAATGCTGGAGTGTCAAGAACTCACCTTTTCATACATATGGGGGAGTGTGCAGCTGCTTCAAAGGACCAGAGGCAGAGTAGACAATTTTATTCATTTCCAGTTCTGTTGATTGTCATCTCAAAAGTGGGGTGCAGTATTGCGCTGATAGATTATTAACAATTGGTTCTTGGGGTTAAAAAAAATCCCTGCTTTCTACCATTATCTAGTTTCCTAGTATAAATGTTTCCATCAAGGCCCATTTCAAGCTACCAACTGGACATCACTGGGAGTCTGGAAGAAGTATTGATAAATTGGCTCTGGCCAGCAGGTTGCAGCCAGCTTCAGTCCACCACTAGCTGGGACTATCTATTATTCATCATTGTTTCTGCAGTAGCTTGCATCAACAAAGAGTAAGCCCATTTTAAGTATAGTACCTGTTGAATGAACAAATATTGTTGCTAGCCACAAATCTCCTGTTGCTTGTTTTCCCCTGATCCTTTAATCTTTCTGAAATGTACATTCCTAAAGTTGGGGGTAAATGTATGAATACAAGCATTCTCTTTCTTGGCCCTTGTAATGAATGTGTTGTGCTGTCCAGATCTCCCTTAGCTCTGAGCCATTCATTACCCTGATGGTTGGGAGTATTACCTGATGGTGCTCAGCTGAAACTCTCTTTAAGAATTTTACAGGTCCGAAAGAAGCTGCCTCTCCAATAGTTTCCCAAACAGCTCTCTGCGTCTAATGACTGGTTAATGCGGGAGTCCAGGTCTGGCCCCTTCAGTTAGAGACATTTTGGAAGAACCATTCCAGTTTCAGAATTTCCTGTGAAACCTGCCATAACCCCTGTTGCAACTGCATTATGATTCAATTTATACCTCTGCTCAGCACTGCTTCGTTCATTCCTTTATGGGCATGGTCTTTGAAGTCACTGCCCCATGTTCCACCTGCACACTGCAAGGTGTGCACACTGTCTCCATTGGAAGGTCTATTTGCCAGAGAATGCAACCTACAACAGGCACAACAAAAAACATCTGACAACTTTGCTCCTTTGACTCAAGGTCCATGTTATTTTAACTTCATCAACCAGTTCTTACACGTTGGTTATCAAGGCCAGATCTTGCCACTTCCTCTAGCTTATAGAGAGGAAATTTATAAGCAAGGTAAGTCAAGAAGTTCTATTTGAGAAGATTTCTAAGAATTTTCATTGTGGTCACATTTAAAAGCATGAGTTTGCTGTCTGAATAGTTGGAATCCTTATAACTAACATGTCTTATTAGCTTTGGTTTACTACTTGGAATGTTGTGATTTTTACTGTATTGTAGAAAGTATCAACTTATTGCAATGATTCACCTCAGCTCCATTCAGCATTTTTGCACCCATCAGAACAATAGGAATAACTGCCCAAAGTTGAGGTGCTCATAATCATATCAGAGAAAAGCTATTTTCAAAATTCTTTTACTATAAAATGATACCTCAAGTATTCTCATTTTTTGGGAATACTTTAGTGCTTTTTATCTTATGAGAAAATGTTTTTCAGTCTATCCCCAAAGCAAATTATTTAGTTTTTCCTTTCCAAATTCCTGTTATTTCAAGTAAAAAAAAAAAAATAGGATAGCATAAAGTCAGGTACTTCTATTCAATTATTGCATAAAATTCTATAGACCATTTTGAAGAAGTCTATTGCATGATTCAGATTTTTTTTTACTTAGCATTGCCTTTGCCATAGGTTAAATTGCATTTTCCTAATTTGATCTGCAGACTAAAACAAAAGGAAGCTACATGAAATGAAATAATAAGAACTTGCTTTATTTTCTAACTTCTGCTCTTTATTAATCATAAATGAATATTACCTTTTAGACACTTAAAAATCATTTTGTCAACATATTTGCCAAATATCCAGAGGAAGAGTCCCTTATTTATTATACCTTTTTTTTCTATAGTACCAGATATAAGAATACAGTCAGTAAAATATGTCAAAATGTTTTTCATAAACTCCCTTTACCAGCATAACAGCTCCAAATCTAACATTTACTCTCATTGTTGTAATATACTTACAGAGAAATCAAAGTTTTTATTGGTTGTTGTAAAAGTGAAATGAAAGTGAAAGTCACTTAGTCATGTTCAGACTCTTTGCTACTGCCATGAACCATAAAATCCATGGAATTCCCCAGGCCAGAATACTGGAGTAGGTTGCCATTTCCCTCTCCAGGAGATCTGCCCAACCCAGGAACTGAACCAGAGTCTCCTATATTGCAGACAAATTCTTTATCGGCTGAGTTGTAAATGACTTTTCAAATATGTCTGATGTAGTGATCCAAGGAGAAAAGAACAGATAAAACCAAGGAGGGTCTTGGAAGGCAGAAAGGGAAAAACCAGACCCTTATCGACCTTCCCTCCCCCGTGTTGTAACTGTTAACGGATTTCAGGTCCTCCTGAGCAGTATAACCTGTCTCCCCTCCTACCCCATAGGGAGAAGGTATTTGCCTTACCCTTCCTCCCACCCAGTATACATGCCTCATCCAATCAGCAAATGACCCACAAGACCCCTATCCCATTGCTTGTACCCTGGCTATATAAGTAGACTAAGGACATCTGTTCAAGGTCAGTTCTCCCTTGAGCTGGCTGGCCTGCTATTCTAACAGCATCTCCCACTCTAATAAACTTTATTTCCCTCTCATTCTGTCTCTTATCTGGAAATTCTTTTCCATCCCGTGCCCAGATCACAACATCTAATAAGAGATAGTCTGTTATTGAATAGTCCATGGTGGTTTCTACTTGCTTATGGTCATCTTCAACTACTGAAACTGAGACTAAGGTGTCTTTCAATCTTTCTGGAAAAGTCTCAGCCATAACCTCTCTATTGGATTTTCCTGTCTCTTTATTGGGCTTCCCAGGTGGCCCTAGTGGTAAAGAACCCACCTGCCAGTGCAGGAGACATAAGAGACAGAGGTTTGATCTCTGGGTCCAGAAGATCCCCTGGAGGAGGGCATGGCAACTCACTCCAGTATTCTTGCCTGGAGAATCTCATGAACAGAAGATGTGTGCAGATCACATACCACAGGGTCAGAAAGAATCAGACTTGGCATGCAGGCACATCTCTTTATTCTCTCTTACTGGCTCTTGAATTAGACAAATTTAGGACCTGCCTTCCATGTCTAACAACATTTTCATTTTTTCACTTCATCTCTTTATGCTCCAACTTAGTCGTTTCTACAAGTTGCTTATCCAGGTCACTAAATATTTCTTTATCAGAAGTTTGAACACTTCATGAAGTTTTTAATTTCCATGATTATTTTTTAACTTCTAGAAGTTCTACTTTGTTCTTTTACAAGGCTTCCTGTTCACTTTTAAGATAAGCTCTTACTCCCATCAATTTAAAAAATAGTCACAACCTAAAAGTTGAAAGTTATGTTTTATTTGGTAGAAATTTTTAGGACTTAAGCCCAGGAGGCAACATCTCAAGGAACCCTGAGAGAACTGCATCAAGGAGGTGGGGGTTGGGGGTAGGGAGGAACCAGCAACAAAGGGCTGGTAGTCTGAACATCAAAAGATTTTTGTTAATTAAAGAAAACCAGGTAAGCCAAACTAAGGAATTTAGCTATTTTCTATGTATGGGAAGATGCAAGAGTCTGGGCTCACTGCAATCATTCCTTTCCTATGCATCTCAGCTGTTGGGGCCAGTCTTCTGTGTTTTTCACATTCCGAGCTTCCCTTGGGGTTCACCATAGGGAGTGGCTGCAGTTCGATGGCTGCTAGGTCACAGGTATTCTTCTCCTTGAGTTCCCTCAGGGCTCACCAGCTCACATTGGAGGGCTGCAATCGCAGTGACATCGTGGTTTGCTGATATGGCAGAAATACTCCATCTCTCACTCTTTACTCGGGTAGTCAACACCTTCTTTTATTTCTTTAAACATCTTAGGTGTTTAAGAGTTAATTAAAATTAGATACATTAGATATCTAATTAAATATCTTAGATATCTGGGGACTAATGTGTCTTGTGACTTTTATGTGTAAACTCATTTGTTGGGGCTCTATCAACACATTTTGAGACCCAGTTTGAAGATGCGGTCCTTCAGAAAGCATTTGAGTTGCCTCTGTTATACAGTCTGTTTTATTTTAAATAGGTATATAATGTTTCATGGTCTAGACATATAATTTATTTAGTCTAGACTTCTAGACTTCTCCACTGGCAGAGGGGCCCTGGTGGTGCAGTGGTAAGAATCCATCTGCCAATGCAGGAAACATAGAAGATGTGGGTTCAATCCCTGGGTAGGGAAGATCCCCTGGAGGAGGAAATGGTAACTCACTCCAGTAGTTTTACCTGGAAAATTCCATGGACAGAGGATTCTGGTGGGCTACAATCCATGTAGTTGCAAAGAGTCGGAAATGAATGACTGACTGAGCACAAGCTAATGGCAGAGATCATGGGATGGGGCACTGTGTATTTCTTCTATTTAGTTTGGATTACATTTTGAGGTTTTTTCTCCCCCCTCAGTTGAAGTGGTAAATTACTGTGAAACACTGATACAACCTAACACATTCCTGTGACTAATGGTATAAGTAAGACACTAATTTGGCTGAGAA